TTCCATGGAGAAAGATTATGCAGTACAGATGTAGTGTTTAAGATGTCTGAGTGTCTTTAGGTAATACATAATGCGTGGCTCCAGGATTTCAGATTTTATTAACCTTTTATTTCTATTCTACTTCCCTACCTGTATTCTCCACATACATTGTGTCCAGAAATTTACTGATTTCTAAGAAATTGCTGTCATTTGCTGACAAAGTAAATAATGTATGATTTTTTTTTGTATGAAATATGTCATTCATCTTTTATAACCATGGAACTTAAAGACAAAGCTATCACTCAAACTTTACATGAAGATATGATAGAATCAATCTTAAATCAATTCCATTCTTTTTTTCTTTTTTCTCTTTTTTTTTCATTTAAGTCCAAATTCATTAACATATCAGAACAGCAAAAACTATTCAAAGCACACCCATCATTTAAATTGAGTTTACATCTATTTTGCACCACTGGAGCTGTGCAAAGCACATAAAGAATGCTGGGGAATCAAGACCCTCAGCTGGTTTGTAGAACCCATGTTAAGCCAAGGCCCAGGTTACATGGTGGCTGGACAGGAGCAGTGCAGACCCTGAGCTCATCTGTTTGTGTGCTATGAATATTCCCGGAGGTTGCTGCCACAGTCCCCACTGCATGGCTGCTTCCTTTGTGCATGTTAGAGACAGCAGAAGTGCCAAGGGAAACCTTCTGAGAACAGATACCCAACTTTGCATTGAGACAAAGTCTTTTGCAGAAAAGACCTCTCTGAATTGGTTAATTCCCTCCTTGACTGAGGACTGGAGTGAGACATGCATGAAGCTGCCTATCTCAGTCCAACTGCAGCCAAGAACTGCAGGGGTGCCAAGCTGAGCTCCTCTGGAGGGTGCAGTCAGCAACAAAGCTACTCACACAAGCCTACTTACCGCCTGTATAGTATCATAGAATCACAGAATCATAGAACCATAGCCATTAAGCTATAACAATGAATAGGTAAACTTAATTACAACTTAATCTATTCATTTGGTTTTATACCCTATGCACAAGCTTCTAGTTAACAGTATGGGAAGTTTGATTACATTATTACTAAGAGTACTGAGAACAAAGAATAGGTCAACAGAAATGCTAAATTTCTTGAAGGATTTAGTTTCTAACTAATTTTAACTCAAGCCAATTATCATGTTAATTTTATGTTCTTAGAAAACTCATTCTGTATTTACAGAATAAGCACTGCAAGTATGGTGAGGATGTATTTTTCATTTCAAAAGCTGAAGCTGAGACCTTGGTACATGTGCAAAAGAAATCCCTACCTGACATCATGGAGACATGATTAGGAGGGAGATAATGGAACTGTGATGAACAGCTCTGTGACAACTAATACTGTTTCATGTAGGACACTTCTAGTGTATTCATAAGAATCTCCATATGTTTCAGACTTAAGAGGCATGCTTCTTACTCATACAAGTAAGAAAGTGCCATTTAAAAGATACTAGGATTGTAAAATTTATTCAAGCTAAAGTATTTTCTGTGTAGGAAAGTTTATATACTATATATATATATCATTTGCCACATATATATATACACATGCATATATACACATACATGCCACTCATAAGCAGAAAATCATTCTCACGTTTAGTCTGAGACTGGTTTAAGTCTGAGACTGGCTGACATCCCTCCTATCCTGTCTTCATAATTATACCACTCAGTCTCTTCTTTCAGTCTTTTGGGAGATGAGGATTACTGCATCTGAGGTTCCCAGTATCTTATTTTTTGTGATGGATTTCACAACTCAAATGGGCTTCCACCATTCTTCACTTGTCTACGCTCTGTTGTGGATTGTGTTGCTCCAAGCTGTGCATGCTGTTGATTTCAGACTGTGAGAACTTCTGGGTCTTTGGGTCCAGGCTGTGTTTTTGTAGTCCTCTGGTCTCTCAGTCTTCTATTACTCTTGTGAGGATTTCAAAGTGGGGGAGGAGGGTGGCGGTGGTGAGATCAAGGAAGCTTACTTGCAATGTTGGTCTGATCAATACTAGTGCTTCTCAAGCATGATTCTAACTCGGTAGTACTCTTGGGGAGAAGAACTTGTGTCACAGCTCCTTCCAAATCAGTTCAATTTTATGGGGCATTTAAACTTATGAAACTACGCATGTTGCTCAGTATGCACATCCTTATGATGACTGTTACACAGAACAATTAGAAGTTATGCTAATTCAAATGTACAGAGTTCATAGATACATGCCTTTTGACATATCACTTGTATTTTGTATTTAGTATACTTCTTAAAAATGATGAACTGCATTTTAAGAATAAAACATTTCATCTTTTCAGAGTAGACAGAAAACTGAATTAGGACAGGAAATTTGTCACCAAGCAGTCAGTTAGATTTCGATTCAAATCAATAGTGCAGGGAGTTAATTTTCAACAGCTCATTCTTGAAATGAGTTCACGAGTTCAGGGCAGTTCTTTGTGCACAAGTGTCCATGTTGCATAACAAGAAAAAGAATGACTATTCTTATTTGTATATTTCAACATAAAGACTGAGGGCTGAATATGGCTTTACACCCCACAGCAGACCTCTCAACTCACTGACAGATAAAACAAAGGTACCTCAAGTGCCAGCACTGTACCAGCTCTGGTGAGAGAGGACACCCCTAGCACCTTGCACAGACACAGGATGTGCTCCATGTCACATCAGAAAGCTAAGGAGAACTAAATGAAATTATCAAGCAGCAGGTTCATAGCAAACAAACGGAAGTATTTTTTCACACAAGTCATAATTAGATTGTGGTGCTCATTGCCACAGAATGTGGCTGAGACCAAAGCATAAACGGATCAAAAAAAGGGAGTAGAGAAATTCAAGGGCTTATTAAATATGATGGGCTGGGATCAACCCCCAGTTTCAGAAATCCCTGTACTATGGTTTGCTGGAACTTGAAAGGATATACCAGGAAGACTGCTGTATACCAATAGCATTTCTTACGTTTTCCTCCCTTAAGCATCTCCTACTGACTGTAGTCAAAGCCAGGATAGATGTTCAACTCACTATAGCAATATTTTTGATCATATGCTTTTAATTAAATTATGTTCTTATTTCAGCTATTTAAAAAGATCTAAGGCCCTGCCTGATGGAGAAATGCATGTAACTGTCTAACACTCTCGTATTTTAGGGAGGGAAGGGCTTGTGTGCGCCACAGCCTTTGCGTCTTAGGCCATAAACTTACTGGGGTGGGGCACATGTATCTTTTATTAGGACTTTGCTTCTTCTGAAGGTGAACTCAAATAAAAATATGTATTTGATAACAGTGATTACAGTGTAACACTGTTTCTCCATAAAGATAATTTGTTTGCCTAAATGTCCTGTGCCACAGGAAAATTCTCTAGTGATTTACGTAAGGATGATGACACTAGCATCCATCGATGCAAAAAGGAATTAACTTACTTTATAGAACTCCCCATGTTTGCAATGCATGAATATTACATTTGTAGGAAACTATTTATCACCTGTTATCTGTAACAGTATTGCCAGATGATGTATAACTTACATTTACCTAGCAGTGTATTTGAGATTTCATCCATTTTGCAGAAGCATCTGGCTGCAAACCTATGACACACACTGGTGAAAATCCAGATACAGAAATGAAGAAACCAAATACCAAAAATTCTGAATTTTACCCCCACTAGTTTTAAGCCTGATGGTGCGGGTAGGGTTTCCTTCTAAATCATCAAGTAGCTATGAACTGTGTATTACAGGGTTGACAGCAGAGCAAGCTAGGCAGCCTCAGCTTTCTTAACTGCGGGCAGTTTCATACCAAGGAGAGGTGAAGAATCGCAGGAGAAGCGCAGCACACCGAGGGTTTCGGAGCCGGGCAGCACTACCGCATCCCCGCATCCCCGGGACGCGGCGGCACCGGGTGTTTCCCTGGGCGCCGGGAAGCCCTGCGCTCTTCGGGGCCACGCCGGCACTGCGCTGTCCCGCCCTCCTCGGCACCGGGGCCGAACCGGGAGCATCCCCGGCCCCGCCGGCCGCGCCCGGCCACCTGCTCCTCTCGCCGCCCCGCCCGCATCCCGCCGACATTTCCAGGGGAGGGGCGGGAGGAGGCAGAGGGATGGCCGTGCCGCAGGGTACGGCGGGCGGGGGAGGCTGGGTGCCGCCCGGGTACCGCCGAGGGCGGTGCGGCCGGTGCCCGCGGTACCAGCGGGAAGGGTAACGGGGAATAGCCCCCGCAGCCTCCCCTCGCCGGCACGGTGGGGGCATCCGAGAAGGGGGGCACTGGGCATGGAGGGACAGGAAAGCAACTCTTAATCTTAGAGCAATGACTCCGTTTGGTCACCCTCACCTTTCGCGGGCTCTTCAGATTAAAATAATAACAAAAATAATGATAATAATTACAACCCCTACACACACACACTGCCAAACAGACCCACGTTAGAGGGAGAAGAAGGTCAAGAGGAAAGGCAGGAGGACCGCTGCCTCATCTAGAAGCTGGCGGCTGTCACACCGCCAGCCCGTGCCCCCGGCTTCCCCGGGGGCGGCCACGTCCCTCCCCACCCTCCAGGGGCAGAGCAGCTTCTCCCGGCGGAGTCGTGGCACCCCAGACACACATCAGGGGAGGATGGAGGGGGGAAAGACGGCGGAGGAGGGCGCGGGCAGAGTGCGGCGGCACCTCTGCCCACCCCTTTGTGCACCGCGGGCAGGGACACGCACATACAGAGACACACGCACTCCACCTTGCAGCCTCGGCGCCGCAGCCGCCGTTGTTACACACTCATGCACACGCTGACACGCGCCGGTCCCCCCGGTAAATGCATTTTCTGTTGCGCTCCACCGCCCTCCATCTATCCTCCTCGCCTCCCTCCCTCCCACCTCTTCCTCTTCCTTCTCCCCCCCTTTGGCTGGTGGGGTTTCCCCCGTCCCCCACGTCCCCGTCCCGTCTCCCCCACCCTCGCCGTGCATCAGTGTAACGCAGACATGTTGTTGCCGTTTAACACGGTTCAAGCTCAAATGCAAACGGAGCGCCTTACCCACCCCCGCCGGGCTGCGTGCGGCTGGCGCGGAGCGGTCCCGGGAAGGGCTGGTGCGGCTCGTCCCTAGCGGAGCGGCAACGCTGCCATCCGCCCAACTTCAGCACCCGGCCGGCACGGAGAGGGAGACGGCGGCGGGCGGGCAGCAGGCAGGGAGGGAGGGAGGGAGGGAGGGAGGGAGAGAAGGGAGGGAGGGAGAGAAGGGAGGGAGGGAGGGAAGGAGGGCGGTAGAGAGGGAGGATGCGAGGAGCGGCGCGGAGGCAGGAGCCTCCGCACATGCGCTCTGCCACGGGCGGTGGAACCCGGCGGCCCCGGGAGTTTCAGCGGTCTTCGCTGTCGGATGAGTCAGGGTCCGACCCGGCCCGGCACCAGTGCTCGCCAGCCCCGGGAGTGCTCGGCGGGCTCCGCTGCAGGTCCCGTTGGGGACGCTCCCCCTGCAGCCATGGCTCCCGGCGCGGCAGGGTGGCGGTGGGTCTTGGGGCTGTGAGAGCGGCAGGGGCCGGGGTCCGCCAAGCGGCAGCATCTGAGCGTGTAGCGTGGAGTGCGTTAGGGCGGGAGCAATACGCTGCGGTGGTGGAAAGCGAAACGCTAGCAGTGCTGCGCTGCTGCTTGGCTTTATTTCTGACCCTCACTGGTGTGTCCAAATAGAAGAAAAATAAAAAGTAGGTGTATAAGCCACTATCCAACTCTTCATTCTCCTCATGCAGCTCGGATTGAGGCAGCGATTTAGTGGCTGAGTAACTTTTTGATATTGGGCACCTCTAGCACAATTCCTAAATAAAAAAAAAAAACCACAACACAGTGTGGGTGTGTCAGCTGCAACCGTGAGAATCAAGATTGGGGTGTTTTGAAGATCTGGCTCTGAATCCTGAATCCTGCCAGTTTGTTTGTCCCAGCTTTTCTAACTCCACTTTACAAATTCTGGCTCAACAGAAAACATTGTTTAGCTTTCCTCCCGCACCTTAAAAATCTGGAGCCTGATATACCTTGAGGTAACAGCATTGGATAAATAATGTATTTGGCATCTGGATCATGTCAAATCGTATCACGAATCCAGAAATGTTAATACCTCAAGAGAGAGCATGCTGCTGCATTTACCACTGCACCAACACAATCTGGCAAGACGATACAAAAAGGCACAAGGCTGGATCAAGGTGGTGCTATATCTTGCCAACAACCCATGTTAATTCTGTTTGTAAAACTGGCTAGATCCCTGTGTATCCCATCTAGATCCCAAAGTGGAGTGCTGCAAAAACCAAAGCCAAAGGTGAACAGACATTCGAGGGCTGAGATGAAAAGTATTGGAATAAATTCTTCACTATGAGGGTGATGAGGCACTGGAACAGTTTGCCCAGAGTTGTGGATACCTCATCCCTGGAAGTTTTCAAGGCCAGGTTGAATGCGGCTTTGAGCAACCTGGTCTAGTGGAAGGTGTCCCTGCCCATGGCAGGGGGGTTGGAACTACATGATGTTGAAGGTCCTTTCTAACCCAAACCATTCTATGATTCACTGATTCTATGGAAGCAGTCCAGGAGGGCTAACTCGCATGAGAACCATAACAGCATAGGCATATCAAACAATCTCAGCTCCTGGGAATCTGTATTCAAAACATAACTAACATAACGTAGCAGTAGCAGTCGTGGCTGTGTGGCTTGCTTTTTAACTTCTGGGATAGAGGCTTCAAATTCTGAATCATAAGAACCAAAGTCACTTCCCTGAACGTCACTCCTCACCAAAGCATCACTCATTTAATTCTGTTATTGGGAACTGAAAGGCGTAACTCCACTTCATACCAGAAGTTACTGGGTAACCAAAGACATCTTTGTATCACTGATTTTATATCATGTTTTGTCCAAGCAGAAATTTTTGCAGTGAGTCTCCTCTTTGTCTTACAATGCTCATACCTTATCACCTTTTCCATGGCAAACATCCCCCTCTGCCCTTCATATACGAACAGACTTCTCTTGAATTGTTCAGCTAATTTAAAATAACTAAGAGCAACTGATACTTACCTTAATGTTTAAGCTTTTAAGACTTGAAGAACAGCATGAGGGCCTGATTTTTTTTTCCTCAGCTATCCCAAGTGTTCTAATAAAAATGCTACCTACAAGTAGTCTTGCCCTCAGAAAATCAGGCCAATTTTAGTTGCCTAAATAAAGATGTAACTCCAAGTTAAACATCTGAGTATGTTGAGTGTATGGCAATTTGAAAGTCTTTACGGAAATTTACCTTACCTCCCCTTTCTTTAGAAATAGTGCTCAAAAGAGTATCAGAAAGGATAAAACATATTTATGAAATGTTAACAATGGTTTTATTTGTTAATTGCTTAAATTTGTAAATTGCTTAAAATACTGCTGGTGTACCTGCTTAATATTAGGAAGACAGTTCTACTCTGATAAAAGCTATGAAAACTATGAGCAAGTGTTTTCTCCTGAAGATTAAGTAAGTACATAGAGTATGCAGATGTTTAGCCTAAAAGGGAGACTGAGTAATGGGTAGGAATGAAAGGAAATAATTTTATCCATTTACCAGGAAAAAAAAAAATAAAAATTAAATTTTATAAGTTTGAAAATGCTATGCTTAAAATGTTTGAATATATAAAAGACTTAAGCATTTTATGACTCTTTTTAATGTTTCCCACAGCCCTGAACAAGCCCAGTCATTCCTATTTACCATTGTTTCCTGCACTGGAGCCATTCTTTGTTGCTTGAACTCCTGTTTATAAATCCGCTTCCTTTCAGTAGCTATTCAGATGCTCTGTTCTGACCACTGCCTAATCTTTGTGCCTGTTTTAGAGCCCTACAATTGCATTCAATGACTTTTCTTTCCAGGCTTTTCTATCATCTCTCCATGGTTCATGTGTCTTGTTCCATGCTTCTTTCCATTTCTTGACCCAAATAGTTTCTGTATTACCAAGCATTTACTGTTGTTTGTTTTTTGCTTTTTGTTTTTTTATTAGAACATGTTACTGCTTTTCCAATGGATTGTCTCTGACTTTTGAGAAAAGAGAAATGGATGGAGCAGTGCATTATAAAAGGACTTCTGAAAATCTATAACACCATGTATGTGAGAACACTTTGTGATACAAAGAGTCCATATAAATCTAATAAAATCATTTTACTTCAACTTTGTGATTTAATGTCTGGATCCCTATTTGCTGTAATGGACATGATACTAGGTTGCTTGTTTTCCAGTACTCAGTATATATAATTATTACTTTACTGTATAGTTCCAGTCAACTTCTTATTTTATTCGTAGAATACAAGACATTTAAAATTTGTCATGGTCATGAAATCTTCAAGATTACATTCAGTTAAGAGCAGCCTCTGCCTATCTTCAGCGTGAAGAATAAAATCAAAGCTATCATTAAAACAAATCAATAGCCTAAGGCTTCAAACTGATCAGAAAACTATGCTCTTCTTTCATACCCCCAGCATTGCTTCAATGTGATACAAAATGGAATATTTAAAATATGTTCTGGCCACTGATCACATACATATTTCAATCTGTAAGCAGCAGTATTGCAACAGTTTAAAGATGCTGGCAATTGTAGCATCAAGTAGGCAATGGGTTAGAAAATGTTCTGTAATTACAGAGATGACTGTATATTTATGGTATGCTTCATGCAAAATACTGCTTTGAATCTGACTTAGCTATATCCATGCAGTACCATGGTTCTTTTACAGCCATGGCTGTTTATAACTGTCAGGCTGTCCGATGCTATTTGACACTATTAGGAAGAGTTTAAAGAATTAAATAGACCTTTCGATGCTGCTATGCAGAGAAACATGAAAACTAAAACAAACTTCAACTACCAAGCCATGAACCTAATTCTTCCTCTTTGGCACAAAGCAAATGATTTAAAGGAGTGATCATCTTCAGCTGGCTATTTGGATGGAAAGCTGGCTTGCAAAATGTGATTAAAGCTACAGCATCTTGGTGTTACAGAGAATTATTTTTGCAGTAGCAGCAACCAGAACAGAAGTGGAGTCTATCTCTGAGAGTCCAGTTTCAGATTTCTCCAAGCTACATTTATAATTTGGCTTGTTTATATGCAGAAACAAAGGCTTCTGAAGTCCCCTTATTAAAGAACTGCTCTTTGCAGATGGCAATGCACTTGTAGCTTCACTCAGAGCAAGACCCAGAAATAATGACATCTTGTTTTGCAGCTGTTTCTGTTAACTTTGGCTGAGCAATCAGTATTTCAAAGGCCGGTATTATGTGCCAACAGCCACCAAACCCCAAAATTCTGTTGACTCAAATGAGAAGAAAAATGTCACTGGCACTAAACTGATGAAACCAGACTGAACTATAGCTGTGGTGCATGAGATAGCTTCCTATGGGCTTGAGCTACCCTGATGGTCTCTTGATCCTAGCTCAGTAATAAACTGATATTAGCATTTTACCATTTCACCAAATACATTCTTGCATCACAAGCTAGACAAAGATTCCTAGCACTATTCTGAGAGCTAAAAAGATTTTATCTCCCTTCTTTAGCAGCTATAATGAATAAGTTTTAAAAGGTTTCATTGCACGTTAGAGTTGGATATTCACTTCAGTAAATGTCATGATCTCAGCATTCTGCAGTAAACCACTTCTTATCCTTAAGTGAAACTGACCAGAAAGGATAAGTAGCTGGTAAGTATCTTTTTAAGGCTAGTAGTCAAAAAATCCACTTATATCTACCAAGAAATGATATTTGGATGGCAAAAAGTCCGTAGTATTTTGAACGTGTCTGCTTCTGGTGAATGACAATCTCAAGGTTATGAGTCTTGATAAATTAACACAAAATTTTCAAGATTAATTTTCAACAACAAAATACCAATTTTTACTTAGCTTGCTTTCCACAAACTCTTTAATGTTTACTCTAATGATTACGTCTCTGACTACCCTTAAGTCATAGGATATGTCATAATTCCTTTTCCCTAAAGCTTTGTTTTGTCTCAGTAAAAAATGAGTAAGTTTTAAAATCTGATCCTGAGTCAAGAAAGATTTTAAACACTTAGTTTCTCCCAATAAATGGGACTTAAATATAGATACAGAGGTAAGTCCATATTTAAGAATTTGTGTAACAATAACACATGCTTAGTTGTTTTCTCAGGTAGGAGTTTGTATTTTCTATTGAGTTTTGCACAGTTTATAATTTCATATAGTTTGCTGAAGGTAAAATGAAAGCAC